CCTCCACCCTATATATATATTCTGAGTCTGGCTTATTTCACTTAACATGTCAATCACCAGTTCCATCCATTTTCCTGTAAATGACTTGATTCCATTTGGAGTTTTCCACCTTCAGTCCAAGAGACCCACCTGGCATGCCCAGACAAATCCCAGGTCTTCCCGCTTGTGCCCACGGCAGGGGGGCAGACAGACGTGCAGGTAAAACTGAGCACCTCTCCACACTCCCAAAAAGCAATACAAAAAGTCAAACCAAGAAGGAAGCCCGGGGACTAAAGGGAGGACGTGAATTGTTGAGTTGAGTGAGGCCTCAGAGAGCCTGGGGCACCAGCAGTGTGGAAATGAGGGAGTTCTGAGAGCATTCTGGTTTCAGAGTTTGGCTACAGGGGATGAATGAAATCACCTTTGGTGTTCTTTGAGAGGTTCCAAATGTGATTTTTAATTGCATTGTATTTATTGCTGCATAACAAAGTACAAAGTGGCATTTGCTTGTAATAGTACTCAAATTCTAGACCACACACCCTTCTGCCTGCGTTATAGGAAGAAACAGTTGTTTATTGAGCATGTACTATGTACCTGGCACCAAGTCCTTCTCATAGTTTTTTTCCATACCTAGCCTACCAGGTCAGTGTCACATGAAGAACCAAAGGTTTCCAGAAGATACTTTGCTAATGTCACCCAGATGGTAAAGGCAGGAGAGGAACATCTGATGCTACAGACTGAGTTCTGTTCTGTTTTTTTTTTTTTCTTTTTGAAATTGTACCACTTATTTTTACATTTATGTGTATGGGTGTGTGCCTGCTTGTTTGTATGTGCCGGAAGAGGGAGTTGGAGCCCCTGGAACTAGAGTCACAGGCAGTAGTGAGCTATCTGATGTGGGTGTTGGGAAGCAAATCCCCGTCCTCTGCAGGAGCAGCACGTACTCTTCACCGCTGACCATCTCTCCAGCTCTGCTTCCCTTTTCCTTTTCCTCCTTTGTTTCTCTTTCTCCTTCTTTCTTTTGTTTTGTGTATGGTATTGTGTAAGTGTGGTGTATGTGTTCGTGTGTGTGTGTGTGTGTGTGCGCGCGTGTGCGCATGTGGAGACCAGAAGTTGACCCTGGTGTCTTTCCCATCACTTTCCACTTTATTTTCCTTCTTTTACTTTTATTTTATTTTTTGGAAGTGAGTGTGTATGTGAGAGAGATGTGAGTGTGTGTGTGTGTGTGTGTGCGTGCCTGTCTGTGTGTGTGGTGCAAGTATGCACGCCATGGTGTACCTGCAACAGAGAACAACTTTGCATGTCGGTGCACGCTTTTCCTCCTTGTCTGAGACAGGTTGTTTTCCCCACCGCGTAATCCACGACGGCAAATTTAAAAAATTATTTTTGAATCATTTCTGCCTCTACCTCCTGAGTGTCAGGATGACAGGCGTGTGTCACCACGTCTGACTTAGACCCTGAGTTCTGAGACCCAGAAACCAAGGCAGGGGGGCGGAGAGGCGTTCTTTGATTGGATTCGAATTCCTAGCTGCCGCAAAGTCACTTGGGAGCTTACTGGAAATGGAGTGTCCTGGGTCAAACCGCAGATCTGCTGACTTCAGATCTGCACCTTCACAGTACCCCATGCTGCCTAGGCCCACTTAACTGTGACCAGACCCTGCGACCTTCCTTTCCCAAATGTACCCTTCCCTGTAGATGAAAGCCCATATGTAATGTGGCTTCGAAGCTGGACATACAACCTTTGTACTTACACGACACACCTCAGGGCATCAGCAGGAAGATGAAGGCTCAGCAAACTATTTGGAACTTAAAGGGATTTGCTCTATTTTTAAAGTGATTTTGAAAAATCATTTATTTATATTTTACATGTATGAGTGTTTTGTCTATATGTATGTACTGTACTACATGTATGCAATGCCCATGGAGGCCAGAAGAGGGTGTCAGATCCCCTGGAACTGGAACTATGCATTGTTCCTATGTGGGTGCTGGGAATTGAACCTGGGTCCTCTGCAAGAGCAGTCAGGGCTCTTAACCACTGAGCTACTGCTCTAGCCCTGGCTTGATCTATTTTTAACCAGAACAAGAAGTGACAAGTCCACCTGAATTTGGGCCATAGTCCCTTTGAAATTCTGTCAGCTGTAATACTACCACTTGTAACAGAATGGCTTAAAAAGCAGGGGAGAATTTACAAGGAAAATGTGTTGTTAGGGGACCACAGAGTAGTTGCACATATGAAGTCAGTGCCTGTGGTAGCATGCACAAAGCCAAACAGGGGCCAAGCATGTGTGAGAGAAGTGGGCAGGAAGCCCTAGCTGAGGATCTGTTGGCAATTGATGGATGCTGGCATGGGGGGGGGCACATCCATACTGGTATGATGGATGCTTGATAGGTTGTCAGACTCCGGGGAATAGACCCTTACCCAGGAGCACTTTGAAGACATGGATTGGATATGATAGACCTTTAAAACACAAAAAGCTGAGTGGTAGCAAACGCCTTTATTCCCAGCACTCTGGAGGCAGAGGCAGGAGGAGCTCTGTGAGATCGAGGCCAGCCTGGTCTCCATAGTGAGTTCCAAGCCAACTGTGGTTATAGGGAGACTCTGTCTTAAAAAGACCAAACAAAACAAAAGTAAAAGACAGATAATAATGGAGGACATAAAGTCTATGGCGGAGCAGAGGTATTGGGGAGGTGGGAGAGAGGAGGGAGGGGTCTGAATGTGATCAAAATACATCGTATGAAAATCTGGAATCAATACAAATATTTTTGAAAATTAAAGGGAATACAAGAAAGTGTGTCTGGTGAGTGGAGGTAGAATATGCTTCAGGGAGTGGTTGGTTCAGCAACCCAGTGTCTTCTCCAAAGAATCTGCAGTTTCCCAATGGGACTCATACAGCCTGGCCCTCCTCACTGCCTCCAGGGACAAATGCTCTTTCCATGCAGATAATTTTGGATCATCACAGCCTGCTTCCAGCCTCCCGCCACAGAAGCATCTAGCCTCTGAGCTGTCCTGACATTTCCTCTGTTCTTCTCCTCCAGGTCTATTTCTGGCCTTTATTCATGCTATTGTCTCCTTTAAAGGAAAAAAAAAATCTCTTATGACTGTAAAAGTGATGCTGGCTCATTGGAGAAATGCAGAAAGCCACAGAAAATCAGAAGAAAGTTGAAAATTCCCCGACCCTGCCAACTAGACAGGCCCACGGGACACATGTTGGTTGACACCTGTCTCTCACAGACATGACACTCCCAGGTCGTCACCAATTCATGGGAGTGATACACAGACCTGAAACAGGCAGTTGGGTGCAGGGGGAGAGGCGGAAGGAGAGAAGTCTGTATCAGTTATTCTCTCATCGCTGTGACTAGATACCTAATAAATAATTTAAGGGAGGAGGGATTTATTTGGCTCACAGTTTGAGATGATACAGTCCTGTCATAGTGGGGAGGCATGGTGGTGCAGCTCCACGGTGGTGGGCATGTGAGGAGACTATTTGATCCACCTCCTAGAATAGGAAGACAAGAGAGGCTGAGCCCACCCCCCCAAAAGAGGGCCCAGTTAGTAACCCCCTTCCTCCAGCTAGGTTCCACAGAAAAAGGTTTCACAACCTCCCAAATAGTGCCATCAGCTGGAGACCAAGCATTGAAACACAACAGCCCAAGGGGGACATTTTACATTTAAACCCTAGCAGAGCCCCTTAAACAGGGCAGGAGCCACTGGCTTCTCAGTTCAGTTCATGCCTTGAGGCAGCTCAGCTCAGTTTAGTGCCCTGGCCTGTGGGGCCCCTCTAGAGAGCTAAGTCTTTATTTCCTGTGCAAAGTGGCCTCCGAATGAGAGATCAAACTTTCGAGAGCTGAAAAGCAATTAACTTCACTCAAAGTGAAGGATATTGTTTTGTGCCACTAGACGGATTTTTTTTCCCCTAGAAAAATTACACCCTCAAAATCAACATTTGATTTAGTCTTTGTTCGTTTTAAGAATGCTGGGAGGATATGCCCAGGCAACATGGGACTCTGTAAAAAAAAATGATGTAGCTGAAATAATTTGAAGGCTGGATACAGCTTTGCATTTGTTTTCTGGAAAGCCTGTACCAATTTACACCTCAGAGCAACATAGAAGGGAGGCCTAGCCCTTCACAGTCTTCACAGCATTGAGCATTATAATTTATAAACATTCATTTGATGGCTAATATTTTGCTCTGTTGTACATTTGTTTACAGTGAAGCTGAGTATTCCCCTGTTTGGTTATTATTAACCTCGTGGGTGTCTTTTGTTGTTGTTTTTCATTAAGAGTTTTTTCTTTCTATTCAGTTTTTTCCTCATTGCTTTGTGTGAGCTCTTTACATATTGTGGTTAATGTCTTTTTATCGTATACAGGGATCAACATTTTCCACATTCCTATGATCCAAATCCCAATCTGGGTGAAGAAGAAAACAAAAGTTTGCTACAACAGGGCCAGGCTCGGTAGTACACACCTGTTACCTGAGCACTTGGGAAGTGGAGGCAGCACTTCCCTGGAGAATCCTGAGTTTGACGTCAACCTGGGATATTTCTTAGTGTATTGGTTCCTTTTCCGGTTGCTGTGATCAAACACCTTGACAAAGGCAACCTACGAGAGACTGGAGAGATGGCTTAGCAATGTGGACTGCTCTTTCAGGGGACTCAGTTCCCAGCACCCACATCAGGTGGCTCATAATGGTCTGACTTCAGCTTCAAGGGAACCAGTGCTCTCTCTGGCCTCTGTGGGCGACCGCACTCATGTGCGTACAACCAACCCCACATAGACACACATGCATACATATAATTTTTTACAAAGCAACTTAAGGAAGTATTTATTTGGTTCACAGTGAGGGATCATCCCATCAGGGTGGGAATCAAGGTGGCAGGAGCTTGGGGCTGCTGTCCACATCCCAACTGTACTCAGAAGCAAAGAACAACACTCAGCTCGCTTCTTCCTTTTAATGCCATCCAGAACCCAGCCCTGGGAATGGCGGGGCCTCCTTTAGGGTAAGTCTTCCAACTACAATTAAACTCTACTTACCTGGCAGTGGAGACCATGATCAGGAGGGTGGTTTTCCCAAGACGAGGCTCATCCACTGCACTCAGGAATTGCTGACCCCTGCAATTGCCCCAAATGTGGGAAACTTGACTGCATAATTTGTGGTAGTGGGGGACTGTGTTTGTGTTCTCCCCTGGTTATTAGCAGCATGTAAGAATAGAAATGTCGCCGGGTGCGATGGCACACGCCTTTGATCCCAGCACTTGGGAGGCAGAGGCAGGCGGGTCTCGGTGAGTTCAGGCCAGCTTGGTCAAAAAGACAAAAAAAAAAAAAAAAAAACCACCAAAAACCAAAAAACAACAAAAAAACCTCTCAAAGGCATATCTAGAGGGTAACGTAATCTAGATCATTCCTCTCAGGTACCCAGAGGCTTGTATCCTTGGTGGGTCTAGGTCAGGTTGACAAGGTTAACCACCAAACAACACACATTGCCCTAACACACACACATCTGTCCTCCTGGGCTAACCTTGCAAACCCTGCTGGATTTCTGCTTCCCGTGCCTCCAGTACCAGTGTGGTTTTCCCTCCGTCCTCATCGTGGTTTTGGGTCAGCCTGTCCCCATCAGCCATATGTTGCCAACATTCTCAAGTATAATGGGAGATGATTCCAAATTCTGCAAAATGCAAAAGACGCAGAATTTCCCCAGGTTGAGGAAAGCCATTACGAAGAATGACTGGACTCGCATGTGTGGCGCCCGGCAAGTGGGGACAGTGCGACGTTTACAGCCAGTTAACAATTACTGAAGAGAAAATCTCCAGGGCTGATGAGATGACAGACACTTCAAAAGAGAGAGATTTGAATTTTAGAGGATGGAGACAGGCCATTGGGAAAATTGATGACGCTTTCAAATCCTTTTTTTTTTTTTTTTTTCCCAAAAATGTCCTCTTCATGATTGTGCTGTGAAAGTCAGACATGAAATCAAGGCTGTTGTATACCACTATCAGACAATCTTGTCAGAGAAATTATGCCCCTCGAATCAACATTTTATTCTTTGTTCATTCGAAGAATTAAAAAGGAATTGCATTCCTAGTCTGCTTTTTGTTAAATGGAAGTAAAAACAAACTTTCATAATTTGGCATTTCCTTTAAAGTATAAAGTCACAATCAAGCTTCACGTCTCCTCGTCTTTTAAATGGATTCACTGTGTTGCCTTCCTTTCTCGAATCCCCATTTTTCTTCGCTGATAAGGACCTCCAATATTCTAGTTTGGCTTTTTGTGTGTGTGACAGGGGACACACAGCTGCTTCCTTTGTCTCCAGCCCTGGGCAGCATAAAGCCTGGAGGACGGGTGAAGGAATATTCCCCTGGTTGATACCCTGGCACCTAACAGAGCACACAGGGGGCTTGGGACACAGACGCATCTCAACTGGAGACCAGACAGTTTGCCATGACAACCAGCCACGAGCCGGCTCAGAGGACTTGGAGGTGCAGGGTCCCATCGATACCTCAGTTGGGCTCCTGCTGCACGTGGCTCTGCAGCTAACCAAGGCTCCTGCTCACTCAGGGAGCTTTTGTGGGGCTTCAGTTCTGGGTCAAACAGCATCTGGATACATGCACAGCATCCTTGTAGTTCTGAATTGGACCTGGATCAGACTTCATGTGATCAAAACTTGTAGGTAACCCCTTTCCTTCTCTCTCTCTCTCTCTCTCTCTCTCTCTCTCTCTCTCTCTCTCTCGACCTCAGACTTCTGGAAGCACTTTCCTTTTTTTCCTGACATCTTCCTACCCCTCTGCCAAGGGAGAGTCTGCCTTAAATCCTAACACATCCCTTCCCTGAGTGGCAGCCTCAGCCTCTTGAAGAAAGGGTACCAGGTCTAAGCTCTAGCAGCTGTTTTGGTTATCATCTGCTTTATAATAAAATATCACTGAACAGTTCCATGGGTGTATTCATTCTCTTCTTCATAACTTCCTGTTGCCTTTGAGTCTTCTACTTTAAGTTTTGATTTCTTTACTTAGTTTTCAATACATCTGGAATGGTTTTCTGTATGCAGGGCAAGGTGTGCCACATGGGTCAGTCATGGCTATTGTGAAGTGGGGTGGAAAGAGCCACATGACCCCAGCGAGGCTGGCAGGTCAATCTCTGTCTCACCCTTGCAGTCAGCTGGTCGAGGCTTACTTTGTCTGGACAGGCTGTGACTGAAATCAGATCCCACACTGAGCCTCCTCCTCCTCGGGCCAGCAGGGTGTGTTCTTGGGGTGACAGTGGCCTTCAAGGGCCAGACCAGCTACATGAACTCTTCAAAGCCTTTGTGGGTGTCACATCTGGTCATATCCCACTGGCCACACCCAAGGACGAGTACTCTGCCCACCTGAGGCCAGAAGATGGTGTGAATGTGTGATTATTCAGGGAAGGAACTACCGATATGCAATCTCCAACGAAAGCCCATTTTGCTGGATCGTCCCCCACAAGCCATCTTCTCCCCTGAAATTATGGTCCTAGGGCAGCAAGTGGAGGTGACACCACAGGATGAGGGTGCATAGACACGTACTTCAGGACAGACATACCTCAGGTATATTAGTTAACTTTTTTTTTGTGGACCAGTGAACTTAATTGGGGTCACTTACAGAAGCATGGGTAACTTACCAGTAGCTATACCACTGAAGAAAATGTCTTTTCCTTCCCCAGCAACCACTAACCGCCTGCAGCTCTTTGTGGACAGGGCTTTGTGAGCCCTTCCCCTTCCATGATGGAATGTTGATTGACACAATCCTGTACCAGTCCTGTGCCCGTGATCACAGCTGCTGAGAGTTCCCGAGTATATCAGCCATGGTATGCCTAGCAGACTGAGTCCAACACCCCACCCCTTCCTCCGGCTCTTCTGTTTTATCCACCTCCTCACCCCCACCTTCCATGATACTTCCTAAGCCATGGAGGGGGGTGATACTGATGTCCCATTTATGGCCAAGTATTTATCAGTCACTTCCTAGTAGTACTATGACCAGTTGTGAACTTATGCAATCAGCACCCCATACTGCAGAAGAAAGCCGCTCTGCCTTAAAGCTGCCACAGCACTAATCTAAAGATGTGAGCTTAAATATTCAGAAGGCAATTTGACAGGCACACCATGTCCGTTTAGTAAAGCAATAGTGGTCACTCCATCTCTAATGCCTGTGACCTAGTTCTGCGTCACTGCAGCAAAGCACCCGATAGAAACTAAGGGAAGAAAGATTGATTTTGGCTCACAGTTTTTGGAGGGTTTCAGTGCACCACAGCGGGGAAGTTATGGCAGAATGGGAACTCCATTTGTGATGGTGGGAGCATCAGCACAGGCTTTTCACACCTTGGCCAGCCAGGAAGCAGAGAAAGGCCAGAGCCACAGGTGGTGGCACATGCTCTTTAAAAGTCCCCCTGCAGTGACCTCATTCTGTCAGCTAGGCCTTATCTCTTATGAGATCCACAGTCTCCAAAGCAGTTGTACCTGCTGGGGAACAAGCACCCCAAATATGAGGGATATTCCAGATCTGAACAGTAACACGACAGTCTGTGCCAGTGAAGTCCTGGAGCAGCTTGGCTCCTGGAGGCCAGTCTCCATTCCAACAGAACAATGGCCCCTGTGAGCAGGTGACAGGCCACCCTAGATGGCCACCTTGCCAGATGTGAGTGCCTGCAGATATATGCATGTGTGCACGCACTCAGGCCACAGATGCAAAAAGATCTGGGGAGGTGGCACCTTCCTGGTTGTGAAAGAATAGTAATAATGGCAGCTAGCCTGACTGTGGCCTCCCCGAGGTCTTGGAGCTCCTTGAGCCCTTACACGGGCAGACTGTGTGTTGGGGGAGGCTGAGCAATGATTGCTTTCCACAAAAAGGCCACCATCTTAACCTTCCTTCCCTGCACTGATCAGCTGATCCTGCCTCCTCTCCTCTCTGCCATTTAATAAGGATGGGGCAGGCAAGAGAGATGCTATAAAATCCAATTAACTGCAGCTTCAAAAGGCTCTTGATGTGCTGCTGCCTCCCACCACCAAAAACAACAGCAGGGCCTGCCTGCCTGCTGGCTTCCCATGGGCAGGTGCTGGTGAGGAAGCTGCTGGGAGCAGCCCCAGGCCCCGGGCAAAAAGGCCTGGAGTGAGGTTGCTCCATTCTTCTCAGAGCAAGGATGGGAGCAGAGAGGATGGGGTGTGCTGAACACAGCTGGCACCCTCCACTGCCTTTCAGATCTTCTCCTTCCCCTCCCCTCTATTCTGACCATACTCTGTTCTCTCCAGAGGTCACCACTTGGACCCTGTGGCCTCAAAGCAAGGGTATTCTGGGGTTTGTGAAGTCAGTCCCCAAATCCAGCTTAGGCAATTGTAGGAGGAGCCCCTTCTCGGCAGGCAGATGTTCCTGTTCTTGAGTGGAGATGGGGGGGGGATGCCAGGACGCAGGAGTGCAGATGTGTGGGAGTGGAGAGGGAGCCTGGGGGACTGTGAGCGGGATCCAGGCAGATGGTGCCAGTCGAGTGCAATTGCTGCAGCTGATGATTTTGATGAAGCTCCTTGTAAACCTTCCGTAGCCCAGAGCGGGTTCCAATGTTTTCTGATTACTCCCATACCTGGCTGCTGACTCTCTCCTCAGAGGGCTGTGGAATGCTCCAGACTGGGTTCCACCATCCCTGGCCACCCTGCTCCAGGTCTGCTGTCCTCCTCACACCCAGGCCTAATGATCTACTCTCTGGAGCTTTATCTCCACCTCTGCGTCCTTCCCCAGGTCCCTTCTTTGTCACCCAAGCTTTTCTACCGCCACAGTCTCACTGCCAGCTCATGCCCTCTCCATAATTCCTTCCATGTCCCTTTACTGTCAATGGTCTGAAAACATGGCCACTGAGTCTGTGCCATTAAGAAGGCAGGTCTGTTTTTGTGTTGCTATACCTGACAGAGGAACTTAGAAGAAGGAAGGGTTTATTTTGGTTCACAGTTTCTCAAGGTTCAGTCCATTAAGGCACAGAAGACATGCAGAACAGAGTGGTCCCCAGTGTGGCAGTCAGGAAGCAGAGCCCAGGAGCCAGGAAGTGGCCAAGGATGATACACTTAGGGCCCACCCCTAGTGACTTACTTCCTCTAGCTAAGCCCCACTTCCCAACGTCTAGAACATGCCAAACTGGTGGAAACCACCAGCGGGCAACCAAATATCCAATACATGAGCCTGTGGGGGCACA